TTCATATCATTACTAAGTGACGAGAAAATGTCTATTCCTTTAGCGCAATATTTAAAAAACTGTTTTAATACAAGACAGCAGCACCTACATAAACTAAGCCAGTAATACATTCTTTGTATTCAAATTATTATCTTTTTTTTTTTTTTTTATGCCTTTTTGTTCCCTTACTCTTTATGTGGTTATTTTTCTTTTACTAATATCTGATTTGTAACCCTTTTCATCCCCTCCGGGGGATGTTGTGTGTTAATAAATAAATATAAATATAAATATAAATATAAATAAATATAAATATCAGCTGTGTGTAAACTACAAACAGATATCTTATCAGTTGTTTGTAAATAGCAAATAAAGGAAGTGGCCCAACTTAAAACTATTTACTCTCAGTTCAGTTATGTTTGTAACCATGCATATTAATGAGATGCACTAGTTGGGTGTACACTGGATAAACAAAAACCTGGCCATTTGGCCATTTGCACACAAGAAAAAAATCAGTTTACTTGTACAAGATATTTTTTTTTTCAATCAAATAAATACACCAATGTATGTAGCATGCCTTAGGGAGCTATTCGTGTGATTTTCAAAAAAAAATGTGAAAAGTGCCCAAAAAACTATTCTGCTACCTTAAAACAGTTTTTTAAATATTGTGCTAAAGGAATTACAGGATAATACAGGAGAAGATAGGACAATTTATAGCAGTACATTTATCCATTTATACTGTCAATCTAAGATACATATCCTTCTCACAACTATTTTTAAATTCAATAAAGATGGTTTAATGCAAGCCATTATGTTTTTAAACCTGTGCATATCCAGTTATTTACATCCTACTTCCTCTGATTTCATTGAAACTTTGTGATTTGTTTGACAGTCGATCTATTAATGGCTTGTTCACATATTTCTGTTTTATGGTCACTTCATCATCAAGGTCATTCATAAAAAGGAAGTTATTTATTATCCCTTGGGCATACACAATGGATGAAGCTTTAAACAAACAAAAATATTTTCTCATCTAAAAATTTAATTTATGGGTTGACGAGTGGTCATCTAAATCAATGACAGTTTTTATGCATTGTAATTGTTTGATGAAAGTAATAGTCTTGTGTATGGATGTATTCAGGCATTTTCCTGTTATCCTCAAGCCTCAGTTTTGTCATACATGATTGGTCTAGACAGAAATGTAGGAAAGATTTGAAAGCTGTCTGCATGGAAATTAGCTGTATTGTGATATTATGACTTCAGTTGCTGTACATGTGATCTACATCCATGCAGACATGTTATACATTCAAAAAAGCAATCTTGTCAGTGTTGTACTTCATGCCTTAAGTACTATTTGGACATAAGTTGTTTCTGAGGTTCTTGATTAATGATTTGTTAGGATAAAACCACTGTCTTCATGAGTGACAATAGATCTTTAACTCAAATAGCCATCTAGATCTTGTTAATAGTGAGAGAGCTGCAAGACTTGTTTATGCCCTTCAAGCAGTGTTCCATTACGTCATCTGACCTATGTAACCATGGTAATCGTTAGCAAAGTCTGAAGAAAATGATACATTTTGTAGCAGAGACATTATGACTTGGGTTCATTACACAGAGAATGACTGTGGCTTTGAGAATATTTGTTCCAAATGCCATCAGCTTATGAAATTTACTCCAAAATCTGATGGTAGTAAAACGTTAAAGAATCACATACATGTATATTGTCTCTTATTACATATTCGATTTATATTAGTGTTTATATTATATTATATTTATATTATTTTATATTAGTGTTTTAGTGTGTCTTATTTTATTTGTCTTTTGTAATCATTTTTTACCTTACTAAACCCACAGATGGTTAAGTTGCAAAATGAAGTTATTATTATTATTATTA